GAAGGAAGCTTCAAGAAACTATACTACTCAACATTTGCCAAGGACTAATATAATCATATATATATAATCCTTTGCAAATGTTGAGTCGTATATTACTTGCACAACCTATTATGGCCAATTGACAGTGACGAGGACTTCAGTTGAAAATCTGAAGATTTAATAAGGTGATAAGATTAAGAGTATAGATTTATGGCACTGATGATGCATTCGCAAAAATTATTTCCTCTTAAAGATTCCCATACTATATTTTTCATTTTCTGCATTATTTGTTTAAATACCTCTTTTCATTAGAAGTACACACTTCAATAGACAAACAAGATTAATCCACATCAGGCATTGTTGTCTTGCCTTCCCCCTATCCTCATGTCCATGTTTCCAATCTAGTTGAGTCACTGCAGTGAAAAGGGCCTCGACATTGCGTCTATTTTTTCAACAAATAGTTCTCTAAAACATTGACCAATCCTTCTATCAATACTCTAAATCCTTCCAATCCCACCACAAACAAACCCTACCTAAACTACCTGAATATCTGCACCATACTACCCCCAAATAAATAAATAATCAAAATCGATACTCTTGGAATTTCATTTCACATTTACAAAATGGACACTTAAGTCCAACATGTAAATCAATGATAATTATCAACAAACCACTTTTTTAAAGGAGCCCTCCCATTCCACAAAACTTGAACATCAAACACAGAGTTTCCACTTCCACTCAACAGACTACATTCCAACCCAGAAAGCCTGGATCGACTAAGAAACAGAGAATCTTCTAATATTTCATCATCTGGTAAATATTTGGAGTTCATACAAGAGCAGTGGAAAGTCAAGTGAGGTAAGTGCACACTACCAGTATGAAATGACAGCACTTGACTTGTTAATACAATGTTTTGACCATGTGCAATAAACACAGCGTGGATGGACACATGTGTAAACACGTAATTAAGACGCCATAAACAGCAGATAACTGAAAATCATAGCACGCAGTACTGACATACCAGGGGACTACTGGGTAGAGGGACCAGACTGAAGTGGGTAATGTGCTTCAGGTTAATCAAACAAGCTTACAGTTTAAGCTCATGCACTGCGGAATAGTCCTAAGTACTTAGAAGAGACCTTAAAATAGAGTTCAAAAATATGGTTTGCAAAGTACTTTGACTCCAAATAATTAAAATAGGAAAAACTGCAGGAAGAACGAGACGAGATCAACACTACTCTCCAACAAACATATTCAGATCACTTTTTAAAATCAAAATCAAAATCGGAACTGTCGTTTTATTTATTTGTTTCACAGAATTTTCAAACCAAATTGTGTGAACTCAGAAATTAGAAAAAACTACCTAACCCAAACACACAACAGACCAGTTGATTTTCACAAGAACAACCCCATGATCTTCAAGCAAATTCATCAACACCAGTCACATACAAGCAGCAATTGTGAAAATACAATTTTTTCATTCAGATCCATTTAAAAACCATTGTGTCATAATTATGTGAAACAATTTGAAGAAAAATTACAAGAAGAACTGGCAAGGAGTCAAGTGATTTCTCGCCTGTCTAAAACAGAACCAGACATGGGAAAACGGGCAGACAACTATTTTGGAACAGCAGACGGCAATTACGAATGGTCAAGCAGCAATGTTGAACACTCCGACAGAACATTAAAGACAGACAACCCCTTATTCAACTTATTTTGGTATCTGATTTTTGTTCAAGGGGCATTTAAAAGACAATCTTATGAAATATAGGAAGTGAAGTGACATATGTTGTGTTTTTTGTTGTTGTTGACAATATGCCAGTGGTTGACAATAATTGAGCAATAACTGTAACAGTGAGCACAACCTTTCAACAAGTAATTATGACGAGAACACTGACTGCATCACATCACGAATTTAAAAAAGCTGGGATGTCACATTTACCTGAGAGCAAAACTATATAATTCTTTAAAAATAGAAAAATAATTAAACATAAAAAAAACCCTTACAAGTATTTCTTAGCAACTGTAATGATATTACATTCATATTACATTCATATTACAATCCTAATGCCACCAAACCACATGGTAATGTAACTTCTGCCTCCCTGGAGACATCTGTTGCACAACAAAATTAACTCTAATTTGCAATATATATTCAAAGACTGTTATTGATTTCATGTAACCGTTATCTCTTCATAATGCATGGAATTATCCTTCCTCACCCTGCCACAAGTGTCCTGGAATTGTTAACAAAACTAGTGCCTATCCCTGGACTTTAATCTGGAACAATTTCTTATTGTACATAAGTCAGTAGACATATTTAAACTACCCGATGTCAATTTCAATAAACACAGACGTTCAGAAGGCAGACATTGGAGATAGTTCAGAAGCTTGTATAAACTGTGATCCTCCATTTCAGGAGCAAGGAGAGCAAAGTGTACACGCCTGTGAAATACTGATGATATTTTGTTTGATAGGCATTACTTAGAAGTTGACGAATGACAAAGTAGACACAATTTATGGATAACAACTTCTTTAATACAGTAAAGGCGATGTTTCGGTATAGATCCTCATAGAACTCATTAAGCAATAATCATCACGCCTATGAAAACTTATCCTGTTTAATCGGCTTCATGTCCCATTGGCTTCCACCTGTGTGTTCTCTGTCCATCGTGTTGTGACAGTATTATCCTTTTGTTGTCATTACCTACTCATGTTATCCCACTCATGTATGCTTTGTCCTTACTGTTAATCCAGAACTGTTAATCCTCCACCTACTATATTCTGTTCAATGTTCCCCATTCAGTCTTGCTTGACAACAGTAGAAGGATCTATACCGAAACATCGCCTTTACACTATTAAAGAAATTGTAATCCATAAAGTGTGTCAACTTTGACGGACGATATAATTCACAAAGAAGTGAGGTCCCTTCTGCTTGATTTTGCCTATTCTTTTTCGACAGAAGGCGTGGTTCCACACCGATTTTAGGAATATTCCAGCCAATGCTCTTCACTTGATGCATGTGGAGAACAGAAACCAAGCAAACACTATAGCCACTCAGCTACCCATCTTCCCGAGGCAAGGGAGTTAACTGACTTTAAAAGTCCAGTTTCCACCCTTGCCGAACTAGGCTGGAATTCATGGGCTCGATTGTAGCGCCCCCACTGGCTTTTACGAGTTATGTCCCTTCTAAGCCTCTCCTATGGACCAATCAGATTCCACCTCTCGTATCACTTGCATTTCCTTCAAACAAAACAGCGGCGCCCAGTCAAGACAATCTGATCGATAATCAAGATCTATTTCGTGATAAAACAGGTCTTCCATCGCGAAATGCATCAAATCACGTGAGCACCTTGATCAAAAACATGAAAAGATTTGAGGAAATATCTGTTAACAACGAGTTGGTGGTGCACATGCTTTGCAAATCCTGCAATCGACCAGAACTGCATGACAGTTTATGAACCGGATTTCGATTTCGTTGCGTGATTTTGATTGGACTATGCATAGACTCGTTAGTCCAGGCAAAATGTAACTCCATAATACCAGCCTAGTTCGGCAAGAGTGGAAACTGGACTTTTAAAGTCAGTTAACTCTCTTGCCTCGGGAAGATGTGAGCTACCCTGTTCCGGTTCAATTCCAAATGAGGATCGATATCCAATCTACATTTCTTGACCAACATATACTCTATGAAATCCCTTGTCATAAGAAGAGTCAATTCCAAGCAGCCACCTTAACCACTCGATCACCCTACCTGAGTTGACCTTTCATATGAGGAATCAATATCAAATCCACATTTCACACAAGTTTGTTTGTTTGTTTATTTGTTGATTAACGCCGCACTCAGCAATATTCCAGCTTAATGACAGCTGTCTGTAAATAATCGAGTCTAGACCACACTATCCAGTGATTGATATCATGAGCACCGATCCACACAATTGGGATCAATGACATGTATCAACCATGTCAGCGAACCTGACCACCCGATCCCATTAGTTGCATCTTACGACAAGCATAGTCACCTTTTACAGCAAGCATGTGTTGCTGGAGACCTATTCCACTCTGGATCTTTACAGGTCTTCACGCAAGTAATATTCTATGTGAAGAGTCGAAACCAAGCGAACACCTTTACCACTTAACTTCTCTACCCATGTTCACTTTTCACTTAAGGAATCATTATAAATATATTTCACATGGGTGATATTCTATACAGACAGGCGACAGCAAGCAAACACCTCAACCACTAAGCCAACCTACCCATGTTCACCTTTCACTTGTCATATTCTTTCTCTTTTACTCCTCATGTAATAAATTCTCAAGATAAATCTTTAAATATTTTAGGAATGTCCCGATATTTTGCTTCTTTCCTTCAACCAACCGGCACTACTTGCCAATCTCGGATACCTGCAACTGCAATCTGTATGTCTGCTTACCCGATAACAAGCTGCAGGCATAGAAAACACATTGGTGGCAATTTGCCTTTATAAACTTTTGTGAAAACATAGAAACAAATGTAAACATTCCCGGATACTCTCAAGATGATTCGACTTTTTTAAAACTTGGAACTGAAAAACTGCCGATGCCCCTTTAAGTGGTAGCGAGTTGGCAGAGATTGCGGTAATGCACCCTTGAGGAATCTCATCCTGACCTGACAATGCATAATGTTGTGTGTGACGGAGTCCTAAACACTACATGTGTTATCAAACCAACACTTACCCTGCCTCACTACCAGCATGAACTCTCAGTCAGTAAAATCCCCGTTTACACAACGCCTTGCCTGGTTCATGTGACAGAGCTCGATACCGGGCTAAATCAATAACAACAGTGAGCAGAACATGTGTTGAGTCCTCACAAACCTGCAACAGCCCAATTCCGAGATGGTCAGTTTAAATCAGACCTGAAATTTACAGTTTGAGCTTCATGTGTCCAATCCTGAATGAAAACATTTGGGGAATGAGAATGTTGCTGTGGAAGCCTCACACACCAACACACACACATGGGGAACACAACACCACGATTCTAACCTGTGCACTAGTGGTGGAGCTTGTCCGCTGGCAAAATATCCGTTGGATTGTCCGACAGGTCGCTCAGTAACTGGACTCTGTTCGGTCAGTCTAAAACACACATGGGCTTCAATATCCCATGGAGGAACGAATCCATGGACTCAAACCAAAACAGAGGTAGAGGATATGGGCTTGGCTATGTGCCACACATCTCCACCAACTCCTGGCCCATTCTCTTGCCTCCTGGAACCAATATGGTAATTATTTACAGGAATAGTTCTTTGTCTTTTTATCTTGGGAGTCGTCAGCAGAGGGAGCAACTGTCCGCCATTTGCTTGGCTCCACAGACAGGAGCAACTGTTAATAGCTCCGAGTACACTGATAATTGATTCTTCACTGGGAGACTCTGGGACTAGCTGGTCGACTACAGGATTGCGAGGGCTTCCGTGGTTGCCGTTACTGCCTGCTCTGCTGCTGGTCGGTGCAGACTGGAGGTAAGGGTACTGGCTGAGTACCGCAGGGAGCTACAGGCACCAGAGAACTGTCATAGCAGTCACAGCACCACGACACCGCCAGCAGAGCGCATCAGAAGAGACTGGCTTTCATAAGTGGGGAATTTATTCTTATACAGACTGAGACCAAGAATTTAAGTTTGGGCTATTTATAGACCAATAGTCACAGATTTGATTTGGACCATGTGGGTTTCTCGCCGCTGTGGAGTACTTGAAGCATTTGCAAATTCACCCTCTTAATCATTTTACAAATATGATTTGTTTTAATTGAAATTTTAGAAAAGAAACAGAATACTGAAAAAATGATTTCATCTGTTTAAAGATATGAAGAGATATCGTATCATTGTAATTAGTGTACAGTAAAAAATAGTATTTACATGAGAGACAAAGCAGTTTCCATCATTTTCAAATACATTGTTTTACTCTACCATTATGTTCAATGATATGCATACATAACCCTGGTAAATATGCAATATCACTTCGTTGAAAATAAAACAAAAATATTGACTCATAAAATTTTGCATGCTGAATGTTTTGACATTATGCAATGTTAAAACTATCACTTACACACACAGGCTGAGCATATTGGGATAACATAGATGAGAGTGGGGAGATGTGGTTTGTTTGGGACTGACCTTTTGAAATGTTTCCGCACCCCCACATGGAACATGGAAATTCCAGACTAGAAAAATATACATCATGATGAGTGGGTCATTGTTTGTTCTGACGGCAGGATAACTAGCGAGTTGTGACAGTAGGGTAAGTAGAGAGTTGTGACAGTAGGGTAACTAGAGAGTAGTGACAGTAGGGTAACTAGAAAGATGTGACAGTAGGGTAAGTAGAGAGTTGTGACAGTAGGGTAAGTAGAGAGTTGTGACAGTAGGGTAACTAGCGAGTTGTGACAGTAGGGTAACTAGAAAGTTGTGACAGTAGGGTAAGTAGAGAGTTGTGACAGTAGGGTAAGTAGAGAGTTGTGACAGTAGGGTAACTAGCGAGTTGTGACAGTAGGGTAACTAGAGAGTTGTGACAGTAGGGTAACTGGAGAGTTGTGACAGTAGGGTAAATAGCGAGTTGTGACAGTAGGGTAACTAGCGAGTTGTGACAGTAGGGTAACTGGAGAGTTGTGACAGTAGGGTAACTAGAGAGTTGTGACAGTAGGGTAACTAGCGAGTTGTGACAGTAGGGTAACTGGAGAGTTGTGACAGTTGGGTAACTAGAGAGTTGTGACAGTAGGGTAACTAGAGAGTTGTGACAGTAGGGTAACTAGAGAGTTGTGACAGTAGGGTAACTAGCGAGTTGTGACAGTAGGGTAACTAGAGAGTAGTGACAGTAGGGTAACTGGAGAGTTGTGACAGTAGGGTAACTAGAGAGTTGTGACAGTAGGGTAACTAGAGAGTTGTGACAGTAGGGTAACTGGAGAGTTGTGACAGTAGGGTAACTAGAGAGTTGTGACAGTAGGGTAACTAGAGAGTTGTGACAGTAGGGTAACTAGAGAATTGTGACAGTAGGGTAACTAGAGAGTTGTGACAGTAGGGTAACTAGAAAGTTGTGACAGTAGGGTAACTAGAGAGTTGTGACAGTAGGGTAACTAGAGAGTTGTGACAGTAGGGTAACTAGAGAGTTGTGACAGTAGGGTAACTAGAGAGTTGTGACAGTAGGGTAACTAGAGAGTTGTGTTCTACATTAATGCCCACCATCTCCCTCATACGGAATAATTAACTTTACCCAAATTGATTGCATTGAAACCCGGTAGAGAACTGAATAAATGCTGATAATGAAGACCGACAAATTAAGGACTACAAAAGGTTAAGTAGGTTCCCTCGATGTTAAGCAGCAAGTGTATGAATATTAATACACACAGACTACACAGGATAGAACAGATCGAGGCATTAGGGAATCTGTACAGACCAGTGCCCCAGGGACTGGTCAGCATGAATGGAGTGGTCAGTGAGGCTGTATAGGTCAGCTCAGTTGAATGGGCTACAAACAGGGTAACACTCCAGCTTCTGATGAAGGCCAGGTCGGGTCAATCAGCTGCTGGTGGTGTTGCAATCAGCTGTTGATGGTGTTGCAATCAGCTGTTGATGGTGTTGCAATCTGCTTTTGGTGGTGTTGCAATTAGCTGTTGGTGGTGTTGTAATATGCTGTTGGTCATGTTGCAATCAGCTGTTTTTAGAACTGCAATTAGTTGTTGGTGGTATTGCAATCAGCTGTTGGCTGCATTGTACAGACTACTGGTTCCATTGACATCATCTAGTGTAGGATTTGATGGATAACTCCATAGGGCCCTCATCTACAAGGATGGTCCGGCAACACACAGCTGGCTTAAATGTGTGGGGTCACAGACCGGCAGGCTTGAAGATCCAAGATGAGATGAAGTGGCTGTTAGGCTTGATGGTTCGGAGATAGCCATATCTTCAAATTTTATCAAAATCCTTTGCAGACCATTGTGACATCATCTGTTACCATGACATCACAACCAAATGACATCACTAACATCTCTGCCGCTCAAGCCAGTTAGCTGAACTTTTCACACTGAAGATACTTATTATCACTGTTATATAACAGTTCACAGATGACGTCACAATCAAATAACATCGCTCATATCTCTGTCGCCCTTTTCCAATCAAGGCATTGGTTGTTAATGACTGACAAAAGTTGGAAGATTGATTTGGGATGATAAATAGAATTTTCCCTTTGTGTCTTTTGATATTTAATAGCTTTTATGTTGATATATTTTATATGAAAAGACACTCGGGTGAGATTGACATTATCAGACACAGGGACGGACTAGATCAAACACACTAATGGAAGGTTTGTTTGGTTCTTTGTTTTGTGTTTAATGCCTCACTCAGCCATCTTCCAGTTTTATGATGGCAGCCTGTAAATAATCAAGTCGGGACCAGACAATCCAATGATTGATATTATAAGCAATGATCCAGGCCATCGGGCTGCAATGACATGTTATCAACCAAGTCACCAGGCTGACCACCAGAGTCACTGAGAGGCCAGGGATGACCAGTATTGGATGCTGGGGACCATTTGAAGCCTGCCCCCCCTGGGAGACAAGCACAGGTTGTTGGGGACCCATTCTATCACATAACCCCCACAGGACACAATCATCACCAAGACTCCAAAACAAATATCTACAGTACTTTGGCAAGTCAGTTTCTGAAGATGAAGAGATTCCCTGGGCTTCTTTTAAAGACAATTTAACACAAAAAATAGTAAAATGTTTTCCCTCTAAACTAAATGTTAGTCTGCAGGGCTCGGTGTCAACAGACAGGTCAGCCTGTTTTTGTTATTTTCATAGATGATACAATACAACACATACCTAAAACAGACTCAGTCAGGCATCAATGATAACAGTCTACAGATCTCTGGCAAGGAGAAGTTATCAAGTTAGCCTCCACACAGTAAGCCCCACTGGAGGAACACTGTCGGAAGCTGTCAAGCTTTCCTCATCCCTGATCTGTGTCAGGGCACTGATTTGTTTTCTAATGTGGAGCCAGAGATACACACAGTCTGAAGACACAGAACTGTCTGATGTCTGTAATTGAGATCCTGTGGGGGCGGTCGGGTAGCCTTGTGGTCAAAGCGTAAGCTCGTCATGCCCAAGACCCGGGTTTGATTCCTGCCATGGGTACAATGTGTGAAGCCCATTTCTGGTGTCCCCCGCTGTGATATTGCTTGAATATTGCTAAAAGCGGCGTAAAACCATACTCACTCACTCACTGAGATCCTGTGTTTGGAAAGTCTGTGATTTATTCCAGACTGTACATGATTTTTGTTTGTAGTTTTTCACCGCAATCACCAATATTCCAGCTATATAATGGAGGTTACTAAATAATTGTGTCTGGACCAGACGTTCCAGTGATTGACATCATGAGCATCAATCTATGCAACTGGGATATGATGACATGCATCAACCAAGCCTGACCACCCGATCTCGTTAGTCACCTCCTACGACAAGCATAGTCGCCTTTTATGGCAAGCATGGATTGCTGAAGACGTACTCTGCCCCGGATCTTCACGGGTCGAAGCCATACTGTTTGTTTGTTTGTTTGTTTGTTGTTAAATGCCGCACTCAGCAATATTCCAGCTATATGATGTAGGTTTCTAAAAAATCAAGTCTGGACCAGACAATCCAGTGATTGACATCATGAGCATCAATCTACACAAATGGGATATGATGATATGCATCAACCAAGTCAGCCTGCCTGACCACCTGATCCCATCAGTCACCTCTTACGACAAGCATAGTCGCCTTTTACAGAAAGCATGGGTTGCTGAAGACCTATTCTACCCCTGATCTTCATGGGTCGACCACTTTAGTAGAAGTCATAATCACAGGTATGGTGCTGACAAACCAAAAACATGATCAAACTGAATCCATGAAGATCCTCATCTGTCTGGGAAACACAACTAAACACTTAAATTACCTACTTTTAAGAAAACGGTTAAAAATGATCAAAAAGTTCTCAAGAAAACTTAATTCATAAAAAAATCTCCTTTTTTGTCCATCACCCTTTTTAAAAATCAACTCGGTTTCAGTTAACTAACAATAAAAACAAATCTTCAGTGATCGCTAATAAGCATGTCTCAACTCATTATTCTGTCCCGATGAATTCTATTTCCTAGCCGAGAAGAGTGATGTTAGAATTCCTGATTTCCATGTACGCTTGCTTCCTCATCATAAAACTTGAAACTTTTAAAAGATTCTGCAATGAACTAAAAGCTTGAAGGCTTTTTTTATCAGTATTCACTAAAAGAACTTTGATAATTTGGCCTACACCTCTTTGATCTTACATCCGACCAAATCCTGTTTTGAGAACAAGTGAGTGCACCAATGATTTGACCTCAGGAGGGCTTTTTCCCTAATCTTTGCAATCTATTATGGTCATTGCATAAACAAGGTCTTCAAAAGTTTAGATATTGGTGGGCTCCAAGAAAAAAACCTTG